ATGTTACTTTATAACCTAAAATATATTATAGATAAATTAGAATTTATGATGATTTTAAAACTTGTCAGAATTTTTACTTTTTTATAGTTTTCTTTAAAAAAATCGATTTGGTACGATTAATCGGATTGTTTAAGCCGTAATCTCTTCACTGATTGATTAAGACATTTGATGTCATAGATTCAGTTTGAAAGCTGTCCAGATATATAAACCTTTTGGTTCTCTTTTTTTTTTTTTCCCCTGAACAGGTGAATCCCCAGTCCCACCTCCTCCCACGGTATCCTCCACCGCCCTCTCCACCTCAGCCATGGCTCCCCCTCCCCAGCCTAAACAAGGCAGCTCCTCCCAGCAGGACAGAAAGGTCCCCCCTCCCATCGGCACCGAGCGGCTGGCCAGGATCAGGCAGACGGGTTCGGTCAACCCATCGCTTCTCACCACCAGCTACACAGCTTCTGTCGGACAGGGCGGCATCTGGTCGTTTGGAGTCGGCAGCGCCTCGGGTGAGGGTTCATTTATCGGTTTTTTAGCGACCCGCCATGAATAACGGCGTTGCGGACGAGCTAACTCTGTGTTTTGGTGCAGAAGCCATGTCTGGTTGGTCCCAGCCTCTGATGAACAGCCACATGATGCACCCCCAGCTGCAGGCCGAGCAGTCAGCCTTCTCCCAGCACCAGCCCATGGAGCAGGACGACACCGGCATTGCTAACCCGGCTAACAGCTACCACCAGCCTCAGCATTTGCCCAACAGTTACATGGACTTCCAGAAGGTAACGCTCTGATTTTCTCCTGCCTGTATATGAGGAAGGGGGGGCAGTGTTAAACCTATTCCCTTTTATCTGTGCAGGGGATGCCTGTGTCAATGTACGGAGGAACCATGCTGACCCCCCACCCTCCCATGGCAGAAGGCCCGGGGGGTCCGATGTACAACGGCATGCACGCAGGCGACCCCGCATGGAACCCCATCATTAAAGTGGTCCCCAACAACGCAGACAGCTCCGACCCACAGCAGCAGGTTTGTTGACGCTAATTTAAACAGTTTTAATCTGTAATTACGAAACCAAAAACTACTTTTATTTCTTCAGGTTTGGCCTGGTACCTGGGCTCCTCATGTGGGCAACGTGCACCTGAACCACGTCAACTAAGCGGCATCCACAGAAGTTAAATGCACACAGCATGACCCACCGTGCAAACGTGATACCATAAGACAGAAGAGACACGGCGAGAAAATAAAATAAAAATTCAAGTCCCAACATAGTAACTTTAGAGGCCTGAAGGTGCAGAGCAGGGGTTGAAGAAACGGAAGTTCTCTTTGACGCCATTCTTTGATGTGCCTATCTCAAACATGGAAGAGAGGAAATCGGGGCATCATTCACGTGATGATACAGTTGTTCGAGTTCACCTGTTCAACAGGATCTATTCTCTGCGTAGTTTAGCGATTTTGACTTAAACCCACATACACCGTTCTTGGGCTGCAGGGGGCTCAAAATGAAGTAGCTATTTAAACTTGGCCCAGAACTAGCTGATGATGATGATGATTACCTAAAGAGAAATCAGAACCTTTTAGAGTGGTAAATACATGTATAATTGTTTACATACTAAAAAGGGTTAAAATGAGAGTAAATTTCATGTCGTATAGTGGCTCTACTTTATGTAGCCTGTATTAATGTGAAATATTTACCTTAATATTCAATAAAAAGATTGAAAAGTGTCTGGGCTCTTTGATGTATTTTTCTTTAAAAGGATGCTTTGTTTCTTGGTCCTTTTCTTTGTCCCTGTGAAAACAACAATGGACTGGAACTTGGGCTGCAACTAACGATCATTTCGCAAATCGATAAATGTCTAATTTTTTTAATTAATTGATTAATAATGGGATAGCCTGAGTTTCCTTTACAGAGGATTTTTTTTATGAATTTAAACCAGGTGAAACTAAAACTTTTCCACTTGAAGAGTTCTGGATAGGGCATGTTGACGGATGAAAACAGTTTTTGTTTTTATCTTAAATGCAAAATATTTCTCTTTTTAATTTTTTTTATATAATTTCTGCTCTACGTGGGTCTCTCCGTCAGCTAAAAGGCATGTTTTAAAGTCTCTATACTCCGATTAATCAATTACTTAATTGAGAATTATTTCAAAAATTGATTACTCATGATAAGCACTAGCTGAAACAATCTTTTAACAATTTAAAGCCTGATCCAAGAATAAAACAACAGAAAATTACTTTTTTTTTTGGTTTGAATTCCCTATTTGCCTTTTTAACAAAATATGTAGAAAGAAAAAACAGAAATACATTTTTCATAATTTATTACTATGCGATAAGTCAAGATTATTTTTTGTGTAGTCTTCTACTGGCTGTTATCAGGTATACAGGTGCTGGTCATAAAATTAGAATATCATGAAAAAGTAGATTGATTTCAGTAATTCCATTTGAAAAGTGAAACTTGTATATTATATTCATACATTACATACAAACTCATATATTTCAGATGTTTATTTTGTTTAATTTTGATGATTACAAATGACAACAAATGAAAATCTCAAATTCATCATATCAGAAAATTAGAATATTGTGAAAAGGTTCAAAATTGATGGCCCCTGGTGCCACACTCTAATCAGCTAATTAACTCAAACCACCTGCAAAAGCCTTTAAATGGTCTTTCAGTCTAGTTCTATAGGCTACACAATCATGGGGAAGACTGCTGACTTGACAGTTGTCCAAAAGACGACCATCGACACCTTGCACAAGGAGGGCAAGACACAAAAGGTCATCGCTAAAGAGGCTGGCTGTTCACAGAGCTCAGTGTCCAAGCACATTAATAGAGAGGCGAAGGGAAGGAAAAGATGTGGTCGAAAAAAGTGTACAAGCAAGAGAGATAACCGCACCCTGGAGAGGATTGTGAAACAAAACCCCTTCAAAAATGTGGGGGAGATTCACAAAGAGTGGACTGCAGCTGGAGTGAGTGCTTCAAGAACCACCACACACAGACGTATGAAAGACATGGATTTCTGCTGTCGCATTCCTTGTGTCAAGCCACTCTTGAACCACAGACAGCGTCAGAAGCGTCTTGCCTGGGCTAAAGAGAAACATGACTGGACTGCTGGTGAGTGGTCCAAAGTCATGTTCTCTGATGAAAGTAAATTTTGCATTTCCTTTGGAAATCAAGGTCCCAGAGTCTGGAGGAAAAGAAGAGAGGCACTTCATCCACGTTGCTTGAAGTCCAGTGTAAAGTTTCCACAGTCAGTGATGGTTTGGGGTGCCATGTCATCTGCTGGTGTTGGTCCATTGTGTTTTCTGAGGTCCAGGGTCAACGCAGCCACATACCAGGAAGTTTTAGAGCACTTCATGCTTCCTGCAGCTGACCAACTTTTTGGAGATGCAGATTTCATTTTCCAACAGGACTTGGCACCTGCACACAGTGCCAAAGCTACCAGTACCTGGTTGAAGGACCATGGTATCCCTGTTCTTAATTGGCCAGCAAACTCTCCTGACCTTAACCCCATAGAAAATCTATGGGGTATTGTGAAGAAGAAGATGCAATACACCAGACCCAACAATTCAGAAGAGCTAAAAGCCACTATTAGAGCAACCTGGGCTATCATAACACCTGAGCAGTGCCACAGACTGATCGACTCCATGCCACGCCGCATTGCTGCAGTAATACAGGCCAAAGGAGGCCCAACTAAATACTGAGTGCTGTACATGCTCATACTTTTCATGTTCATACTTTTCAGTTGGCCAACATTTCTATAAATCCTTTGTTTTTATTGGTCTTCAGTAATATTCTAATTTTCTGATATGATGAATTTGAGATTTTCATTTGTTGTCATTTGTAATCATCAAAATTAAACAAAATAAACATCTGAAATATATGAGTTTGTATGTAATGTATGAATATAATATACAAGTTTCACTTTTTAAATGGAATTACTGAAATCAATCTACTTTTTCATGATATTCTAATTTTATGACCAGCACCTGTATCTGATTGTGTACAATAGGATTTAGAGCAAAATTTTTACCATTAAATTATGCAAAAGGTGTCAGACGCAAAACATTTCAGAAACCGTATGTATCAAATACGATACATTTGGCATTACAGGGTTAAAATGCAGCAAGATCTAGATTTTGCTTAACTGTTTAGTTTTTTTTAGAAAACTGAACTATTATGAGGCATTTCTTTTTAAGCCTTTATATACAAGTCTGCAAATGTTGCCTTTTCCACCCATTAACATTATTTTTTTAAAAGCTCATTACATTCCCTGTATATTTTAAACTATAACACCCATACAGTTATGGGTGCGGTAGGCCTCATAAGGTCCATATTGGTTTGTTAGTTTCTGAAGACAGATTTTATGATAAACTTTGGTTTAAGCACTGGCGTAATACAACTAGTTCATAAAAGCCTGAGTTATGGTGGAACAATAATAATAAAAAAAGTACTAACCTAAACCCTATTGATGATTTGAAATAAATTATTTCTGCTGCAGAAAACGCTGCTTGAAATGAATTTTGCCAGTTATAAATGGAAAAGAAAAAAATAGAGATGGCAAGCTTGAGTGGTTACCAAAATAATAGTTTTATTTTTATGGTGTAATTGCTTTGGTTACAACTTTAAAGATTTGCACATTTTTAATACAATTATAAACTAAGTATCAAAAGAAACGTTTAAGCGCATTATTGAAATAAAAGCTAACAGCCTTATTTACCTTTATGTATAATTCTAAAGATTTGGATTGTACAATGCTGCCATCTAGTGGTGAATGTGGGGTAAAATCTCACAATGGGGAAATTGTGGCGTTACAGCAGTAAAAGATTACAGCAGATGTAAATTAAATTTTAACGAAACATTTGCGGACATCTTAAGATAGAAATATTGCTACTATATTTATGAATAAATGTCCACTGCTAAAAATGTGCTAAATAATGAGGTTACCTTCCTGTTTAGGTCTTGGTAAATCCCACTTTTATTGTGAAAAGATCGGATAACTCAACCGGAAGTGCCGCTTTTATAATTGACAAATATTCCAATTTCAACATGGCGGTGGCAGCAACACCAGCTGTATCTGATCAGACCGAAGCACAGACTCCGGGGCAGATACCGTTTGACCTGTCCCAGCCCCCGGTCATCGAAGGATTCACCCCGTTAACGAAGGCCAAAGACGAAAGCTTCAAGGAAAAATTCCTGAGGAAAACTAAGGAGAATCCATTCGTCCCTATAGGTGAGTTACACAAGCAGGAAGACCGCTGGCGGAAGTTGTACAACTGTAGTCCTCTGTGTCCTCCAGTGCACTTAGCAGAGTTAGCATCTAATGCTACATCATAACACTGCGAGGTAACGGCCTGTAGAGCCACAGATGTTTACACCTTTTTGTAAACTTTTCTTTTATTTCAACCCTTTATTGATGTTTGGCCTCAAAGTTAGCAGCGCTAACATTTGTCTTTATTAAGCGAGGAAGGACCTGCCTGTTTAATTAAGGGTAGTGATGGTGAGAGGAACATGTCACCACCTACTGGTTAAGCGCAGAACTACAGTTGACAATATAATCTGATTTTTTTGCAATTGTTTTTCTTGTTTTTTTCCCGTTTAAGTTCCTTAGAAATTGTTAATGATTGGTATGTATAATATATTTTGTTAGTTTTTTATGCGTAAAATGTTTAAGAAGAGAAAAATCACAGTTTTTCTGCCATTTTAGTGAAAGAAGCTCTAGCAGACAGTTAAAGTGCTTGTGCAAATTGGACATTGAACAAAAGGAAAGGTGTTAGTCACTTTATTCAAACATAATAGTTTTTGGTTTTTCATCAGGTCTAAGGTTATATGTTCAACCAATCTAATTTGGCAGTGTTTTTACCCAATCTATATATGTTTTAGGGCAAACCAATACATATCAGTCACATTAGCCGCAAAAAAAAGTTTAATCCCAACTTTCAAAAGTCTGAAGTGGGTGTTGAACCATCAATCTTTAAGAGTGGATCCATCTCTTACAGATGACAAGCAAGATGACAATGATCCTAAAAGCAATCCTACATAAAACTCAATACATCTGTAAGCAGTGACTTGGTCGGATTTTGATCACTTATATTGTTTAATCTAATCAAACTAGTTTTAACCAACTAGATTGGTTGATTTTCCAACCAATCTATTCTGCAGCAGATTCTCAAATCAGACACAGGTGATGTTTCCCTAAATGCTAAAGTCATGGAAGAATTGATGGACCCTAAACCCTCCCATCTAGTGGTTGTGGGGGCTCCCCACTATTGAGCATTTTCCCTTTGGATAAACTTTTCATGCATAAATGCACTCTCACAAACAACTGCAGGTGCTTAGAGATTCACTTCCACACAGAAAGCCCATATTCTTATCTTCAGCTACTGCAGTATACATGTCAGATTAAATAATACTTAAATACTTATACGTGAGCGATAGTATCAAGGTGTTTATTGTACCTCTTATACTTTATCCGTTTGTCGTGCTGTTCTTTACACCTCTTTGCAGTGGATGAAGCAGAGTGAAGATGTTTTATCTCCTCTTTCTTTCATCTTTTCTCCTTCTTTTCTGTTTTTCCTTTCCTGTTCTACTTACATTGCAGTGTCCATAAAATCTGTAATACTCCCTGCATGAATTATAATAAAGATATTTATATGCACACTATGGCGATTGCCGTACTGCTCCACTTATGAAAGCAAAATCTGTTGGGCTCTTTTTGGCATCAAGTCAATTATTCATATTGTCACAAGATGATTTTCTCTTGCAAAATGTTATTTTGAAAGACGAGTATCATTTCCCTCTTCTTTACACTCTATGCCTTATTTTGTCAATCCTATAAAATCAGTACATTTTATGCAAAAAAAATACACTAAACAGTATAAATGCGTTTTTCATGTTCTCTTCATCCGTAAAATCCTGCTTTTTTTCTGTTCATCAGGTTGTTTGGGAACAGCCGGAGCTCTGCTGTACGGTCTCCGCGCCTTCCATCAAGGAAAAACCAGACAGTCCCAGATGTTGATGAGGGGCCGTATATTCGCTCAAGGCTTCACCGTTGTCGCCATCGTCGTGGGCGTCTTCGCCACGGCGTTGAAACCAAAGCAGTGAGGGTTCTTCGGTTGACGCTCCTCAGCAGTGTCCTTTAAACTCTGTATAAAACTAGATCCGCTGTGGACTCTCTGAATAACAAGCCATACATGTGACGGCGCTCGGATATGTAGCTTATTTATTGTGGAAAACGTTGAATTTGCTCAGGTTGATAAAAATGTTTTGCTGTAAGTCGGCTGAGTGGGAAAAGCAAAGCAGTTTCATCTCAAGTAAGCGGAGTCTGGTTTAATAACCCTGAGAGATTTTTTTTCTTTTCCACGTGGTTTATCATTGAAATAAATGAAGCAACATGTTTCTTCTTACAGAAATTCAACATGGAATGTTTTTTTTTTTCTGTTTATAAAGGTGCTTTATTTAAATTTTGTCATCTTGATGTTAAGATTAAGCCCTCCCTAACCCCGAAATCCCTCCTCCTCCATCCCCGCTCCGTTGCCGCCCACCTGCACAAAGCCAACAGCCTCCGCGGTTCCTCCCTTCACAGGAGAAAAACATGCGGTAGTAAACGTTTAATTTAACATGACATGATTAAAACTCACCATCAGCATCAATCACACACGTTTGCCCAAACATATTTTCTTCGTTGTGGGTCTTTGTAAATGAGGATTATCATACAGAATTGGTTTGTTCTCTACTTCCAAATTCAAGATTTCTTCATCCATGCCTGCGAGAAGTTTGTTTTGAAGTTATCAGATGCTCTCTTCAAAGTTGTTGTGACTGGATTTGGTGAAACTTTTAAGCCTTTCAGTATAAAAATTATTTTGATCGAGATGAGAAATCCGCTTCCTGTTCTGTTGAAGTACCAATAATTTCAGTGGTGTCAAAAGTACACACATTTGTTACTTAAGTAGAAGTATAGATACTGCAGTTTAAAACACTCTGGTAAAAGTTGAAGTATCAACTTGATCTATTTACTCATGTAAAAGTGAAAAAGTATGTGCTCCAGAAAATACTTAAAGTATAAACGTATAAAGTCACCTTTAAAAAAAACAGCCAAATGCCACTATATGAACTTAAAGGATGAGGGAGGTCTTGTTGGTCTCCGTCTCCCGATACGCTCTCGCCTGTTTCCGACCTTTCAGACGTTTCAACATCTTTTTCTGAATCCTACATTGTAGCATGGCATAGACAATTCACGTTTGCAGTTTGAAGAACACCTGCTTGCTTCTGATGATTTCCTTTAGCTAACCAATGAGTGTTTGCGTTATATGACTCATCCAATTACACAAGTTTTCACTAGATGTGTATGGTGCCAATGATCTGCATTGGATGGAGCACATGACAGGAAATAAATATTACATTAAATAATACATAATAATACATTAATACATTAAATAATACATTAAACCGAAGCCAAGAGTAACGAGTAACGTTTTGAAACTGTAAGGAATAGAAAGTACAGATACTTATGTGAAAATGTCAGAAGAAGGAAGAAAAACAAGTAATGGAGTAAAGTATAGATACCTAAAAAGTAGGGATGCACGATATAATCGGCCCCCTATCTGTATCGGCCTTAAAACTGAATATCGGACATCGGCCACCCCACCGATATTTAACCCGATATTTGATCAGCTTCTGAGTTTCTTCTTCTTCCTCAAAAACTTCTTTTTTACAGACTTAAAAACTTCTAAAGACGAGGGAAAAAATATTGATACATTAAAATATCCCAATATCTTCATATGCTGATATATTGCCATTAAAAACACCATATCAATCTCTTTTTCTAATGAAATATTGCTATATGTCATCGTTATGCTACGAAATCCCCCGAAATTTTGAAATATTTTTATATGTTGATATATTGACGCGGTATCGATCTATTTTACTAACAAAATCTCACAAGAATTTGCAAAATATCACGAGAGTTTGTAACAGAACGATGAAATTTCACGAGATTTTGAAAGTAAAATAGATCGATACCGCGTTTTTAAAAATCAGTTTGATATCAGCATATGATAATATATTTGAGTATATTATTTTTCAAAGTGTCAGAAATGGATAACAAAACTGCTATTTTCAATGACTGCTTATTTTTGTCCAGCTTTAACATCGGTATCGGCTACATGAGTTTTAAAATATCGGCATATCAGATATCGGCACAAATCCCAATATCGTGCATCCCTACTAAAAAGTGTACTTAAGTACACTTAGTGTAACGTCAGATCTTCTCAACGTTCCTTTTCCTGTTTTGGTGCGATTGCAATTGCGGATCTTGACCTGGCGGCTTCCAACAGACTGGAGCGGAGCAAAAAATAGCTTGGATCCTTATTTTGACGGAGAAGACGTACGTGGACGGTGGATATGGTACAGTTCTCATTAACATGAGTGGAGTGCTGATGGAGCATGTGGAATCTGGAGGTCAGACTTTAAACAGAAGCGGACACAATGTGGCTCATTTAGTGTTAAACATATTTGCCCTGTTGAGAGATCCAGCGAATGGCTCATTAGGGTGCTTCCATACAGACATCCTAATAAAGGGATTCAGCTGATTAATTTATCAACCAGATTTTTTTTATTAAAGTATTTATAATTCATGGGTATTACAAGATTATTTTTCTCTTTTGTAAGGGAAAAAATGCACTTGAAAAAATTAGAATCTACATAAGTAATTTTTTCTTAAAATAAGTGAATTTTTCTTAGACAAGGAGGCAAAACAGACATTTTGCCAATGGAACAAGACAATTTACACTTAAAATAAGAAAACATAATTGCATTGTCTTATTTCAAGTGCATATTATCTAATTATCTCATTCCATTGGCAAACTAATTTACCTACTCAAATTAAGGGTAAATAAAGTTAATTTAAGAAACTTTTACTTACAGGTGCTGGTCATAAAATTAGAATATCATGAAAAAGTAGATTGATTTCAGTAATTCCATTTAAAAAGTGAAACTTGTATATTATATTCATACATTACATACAAACTCATATATTTCAGATGTTTATTTTGTTTAATTTTGATGATTACAAATGACAACAAATGAAAATCTCAAATTCATCATATCAGAAAATTAGAATATTACTGAAGACCAATAAAAACAAAGGATTTATAGAAATGTTGGCCAACTGAAAAGTATGAACATGAAAAGTATGAGCATGTACAGCACTCAGTATTTAGTTGGGCCTCCTTTGGCCTGTATTACTGCAGCAATGCGGCGTGGCATGGAGTCGATCAGTCTGTGGCACTGCTCAGGTGTTATGATAGCCCAGGTTGCTCTAATAGTGGCTTTTAGCTCTTCTGAATTGTTGGGTCTGGTGTATTGCATCTTCTTCTTCACAATACCCCATAGATTTTCTATGGGGTTAAGGTCAGGAGAGTTTGCTGGCCAATTAAGAACAGGGATACCATGGTCCTTCAACCAGGTACTGGTAGCTTTGGCACTGTGTGCAGGTGCCAAGTCCTGTTGGAAAATGAAATCTGCATCTCCAAAAAGTTGGTCAGCTGCAGGAAGCATGAAGTGCTCTAAAACTTCCTGGTATGTGGCTGCGTTGACCCTGGACCTCAGAAAACACAATGGACCAACACCAGCAGATGACATGGCACCCCAAACCATCACTGACTGTGGAAACTTTACACTGGACTTCAAGCAACGTGGATGAAGTGCCTCTCTTCTTTTCCTCCAGACTCTGGGACCTTGATTTCCAAAGGAAATGCAAAATTTACTTTCATCAGAGAACATGACTTTGGACCACTCACCAGCAGTCCAGTCCTGTTTCTCTTTAGACGCTTCTGACGCTGTCTGTGGTTCAAGAGTGGCTTGACACAAGGAATGCGACAGCAGAAACCCATGTCTTTCATACGTCTGTGTGTGGTGGTTCTTGAAGCACTCACTCCAGCTGCAGTCCACTCTTTGTGAATCTCCCCCACATTTTTGAAGGGGTTTTGTTTCACAATCCTCTCCAGGGTGCGGTTATCTCTCTTGCTTGTACACTTTTTTCGACCACATCTTTTCCTTCCCTTCGCCTCTCTATTAATGTGCTTGGACACTGAGCTCTGTGAACAGCCAGCCTCTTTAGCGATGACCTTTTGTGTCTTGCCCTCCTTGTGCAAGGTGTCGATGGTCGTCTTTTGGACAACTGTCAAGTCAGCAGTCTTCCCCATGATTGTGTAGCCTATAGAACTAGACTGAAAGACCATTTAAAGGCTTTTGCAGGTGGTTTGAGTTAATTAGCTGATTAGAGTGTGGCACCAGGGGCCATCAATTTTGAACCTTTTCACAATATTCTAATTTTCTGATATGATGAATTTGAGATTTTCATTTGTTGTCATTTGTAATCATCAAAATTAAACAAAATAAACATCTGAAATATATGAGTTTGTATGTAATGTATGAATGTAATATACAAGTTTCACTTTTTAAATGGAATTACTGAAATCAATCTACTTTTTCATGATATTCTAATTTTATGACCAGCACCTGTATTTCTAGATCTTTTTTTCCAGTGTGAAGTCTGCCAGAAGCCACACTTTGCAGCACTGCAGATCTAGAACGCCAAACTCTTTAGTTAACCTTCAGTCATGCTTGACCTTCTCAAACATCATAAAAGTCTGACACTACGCATGAGGATACTGGGCTACACACGACTTTATTCAAGGGATCTCCAAAGTTTATGAAATAGTAACAAGCTTGGCAAGGAAATGTTAAATTAAAGAAATATGAAAAAAAAAATTTTTTTTCTTTTATTCTCGTCCCTTTTTAACATTCAGTGATTTAATATTTATTATGTCCAAACAGGCAACATGTGAACAATGTGCAGATGTCACATTTGAAATGAAAACCTGTACTTTAAACGTTTTAGTGTGCTGTTGTGATACAAATATGAAGAAAAAATAAGTAAAAAAAGGTGCTAATTTAAATTCCTTAATTTAGATGCTAGCAGAAGTCTTTGGTTGGGAGTCTTTACCTTTAATTTTTTTTTTCCAATAAAGTAACCCAATTGAATAACTATCAGGCTTAATACTCCTGAGGAGAGAAGGAGCGACATCAAAAGGCCACAAGCTTATGTCATTAAAAAAAAAACAAGTATAACCTTATTAATTATTGATTTCATGAATTAAACAATTGTTTTATGGTTAAAAACAGGCATGAAGGGATACAATCTTGTTGACATTAAGTGTTTTGAGCAAAAAAGGCAATCCAATGAAGTTGACCTCAAATTATAAGTTAAAGAAAACATAAAGTAACAGTATTTTCTTCAGTAAAGTGGCGTTGAAAGGTGTAACAGAGCGTTCTGTTTTCTTACAGGAGCCTCAGGTTAGGTTTATCAATATATAGGCATCAAGAAAGGCAAGAAAAGGTTCAGCATGTCAGCAACTCCTATGGAAAAGGTCTAAAAATCATTCGGATACAGCGTGTCATTCAAGCTGCTGCTGTTAGCGGGCTAAAGGTGTCTGTTTTAGGGAGATGAGAACCGAGCGCATCCTGGAGACGTCCTTCGCCTGCTTGCTGGTTTTAGGATTGAAGTCGCACAGGCGAGCAACTCGCTCCCATTCGGAGCCGGGGCTGTCGCCGTCGCTCTCTGCCAGGAAGGCCTCCTCGGACGCTCTGTGGGGTTGCAGCGAGATTAAGAGAAGAGGGGGAAAAAATGATGAGAATATGTAGGGGAGAGGTTTAGAAAAAGCTTTATTTGGGTTTTATCACGATGCAAGTCAAAAACCACTGCCATCTTTATTTATTTCATTTTTAATCAAATAACAAAAGGACACCCAGTTTTAGGAATGAATACAAAGACAAGCCACAGTTCATTTTAAAAAACACAAAAAAAAACATGCTTACGGTGACAAAAGCTGAAAATTATAAATGTTTCACTAAGAGTCCTAATGTGACCTGAGGCTTTTCAAGTTTATTTAGATATGCACTACAAACATTTACAGATATCTGATCTGATGATCCGACTGCAGGCTACAGGGAGGCATGCATCAGGTAAGAAGGAGGCGGAGGAGCATACAACGTTAGAAAGAACTCTAAACGTACACGAAGCCTATAGCATCAGAGTTGGGCTGTTTGTAGAATGCTTTGTCAGCAATCCTAGCGCACAGCCAAGGCCCAGAAAGCAGGGGGGGGGGGGGAAAGAGAAGAGTTTTAGTCTCAGAACAACAAGCAGAGCGATATTAGGCTGTGATTTAAAAGCGCTGAGAGAAAGCTCTGATGAAGAGGGAGTTCAAAAAGCTCCAAAACAAACTTATCAGCAGGTTTGGAGGAACAGATCAGAGCAGACCACCCTGGTGGTGGAAGCTGGGAGGAAAAATGTCCTCTATGGGAGCCGTCTAAAAGAAATAGTTTCTTTTTCAATACTTGGGAGGCTGGCTTTGGATTAATATCTCATCAGAACATTTTTCTCAGGGCTCTGGAAAAACCCAACAACACTACAGCTAACAGATGCAGAGTGATACCGTGCCAGACTTGGACAGAGTCTGTTGGAAAGTGGTGAGAAAACATCTAGTTAGCATGAACAAGAACAGGAGAGACTAAAAAACAATTAAATGTGTAAAAACCAGCAGTTCTTCTTTGAGAAGATCCAAACAAAGTAAAAAAAAAAAAAAAAAACAATCCACTAGACTTTGTTTCCAAGTTTGAAGATGTTTTGTTTCCCATCCAGAAAGCTTTTTCAATTCAAAATATCAGAAATCAGCCACGCCAACAATTCCATTTACCAACTAGGGCCCTATAAAATCTGTTTAATTTTTTTCCAAATTCTGTTTTATTTCCGTTTTAATTTTTTTTAAATTCCATTTTTCACATTTTATGTATGTATTTTTGCGCTTCCTATCAATGGAATGTTGACAAAACTTGCAAAACAATAGTTCACCCGACACGTAAAAGTCACAAGGGAACTGCTCGGCTCTGTACTCAGGGCTTAGCGTTGTGTTTCTCAACCTTTTCGCCGAAAGCGGAGCTGTGGAGAGCTGCTTCGCCATTTTTTTCAATGTTTTGATATTTTAGATTTTTGTTATTTTATTACTTTTTTTATACTCTAATAATCCCCAGAGGGAAATTACTTCTCTGCATTTAACCCATCCCCTTGGGGAGCAGTGGGCTGCCATCGTGCGGCGCCCGGGGAGCAGTCTGGGGTTAAGGGTTTTGCTCAGGGACCCAGAGCAGTCTGTGGGAGTGGGGGATCAAACTCACAATCTCAGGATTTAAAGCCCTATGCCCTAACCACTAGGCCGCCAGATTTGCGTCCCCCGGTGTGCATTTCCCCCCGATGTACCTTCTCCCAGACAAAAACAGGATTTCATTTCAAATGTAGAAATTCCACGTTAATTTGTCAATTCCACGATTCATTGATCGCGGAAATTATAGGGGCCTAAACGACCCCCCTTTCAGAGACATAGACAGGTATGGGTCATTGCAGGCAAACAAAGAAGCCAGATGACCCAGATTCCTAATGGGCCGACCCGTTCGTCTGTTTCAATATGCATGTTTTCTAAGCAAAAACAAGGCTCTGTTGGGTTACTGCATCAGGACTGAGTAACTTGTTAAATGCGTTTTATTGCTCTTGGAAATAATTTTAATGCCATCAACAAATACTCATGACTCTCATATGTCTATATATAAAACACAGCAAAATCCTTCGTCATCTTTACCGTTTATAGGCAGCAGCCACGTACAAATTCCTCGTTTTCCGGTCACTTTTGTTTAAATTAGCATTTTCCCATTCTCTAGCTTCCTTTCCGAACATCCGGCTTTACGATCAACTGGAAGCAGTTAGTTCTATGATATAATATATCTGACGAAATAGTTTTTATAAACATTTTAAATGCCACAATAATCACATTTAATGAATTTTAATACCAATAAAGGCCTTCATTTATCAAATAATAATTTCATGACTTTTAATGATTTTTAATGACCTGCGGAAACCCGGGGTATAAAGCCTCGAACTCGAAGCTATTTCTGACATTTTGCATTTAAAAAGCTTCCTGGATGGGAAGCAAAGTGTCTTCAAACTTGGAAACAAGGTCCACTAGATTGTTTTTAACTTTTTTTGGAATGACTATGACCTGTATGACTGAGAATCTTCACCATCATATTATTTAAGAAGCATTCCCCCCTATTAAAGCTAAATGGACCACACTGGCCGTAGGGATCAGATCGGGGTTCTGCAACCTTTCAAATTCAAAGAACCTCTTCTGCCATCATGAAATAACATTTGCCAAGAACTAAGATAAAGTTTTTATAAATAGTAAAGGCCAAAGAAATCAAGATAAGATTTTCTATTTCATTTAGGTTTTTAAAGAACAACGTTCATTTACCCTTTTAGAAAGGGGGGTAATTTTTTAGAATGAGTCAAGCTGAGTGAGCCACCATAAATAGCAAAGATGAATAAATAAAACTAGTTAAAGCTAAAACTTTTGCACCACTGCTGCTATGCTGTTAAAGATATTCTCTTCAGATAATCCACAATGAATAATGTTGCGCTGATGCCATTTTTTTGGCTTCGATACCTGGCTGTGCAGTATCGGCCCATACCGAATCTGTTTGAAATTGATGTGTGTATTATGAAGAAATGTAAAATAATTGCCATCATGGCTTTGTCAAGCTGCTGCCTACCTTTGTAAAGCAGGAAAAAGAATAAAACAAAGATAATCCAGTAGGACTTTTTATTGCCTACCTGGAATGGGTAACAATAGTTGAATGATCTTTTGGCTCTCAAAATGGTATCGGTGCCCTATTTGTTGGTACTCGCCGATACCAATACCACCACTTTAGCGCTGGATCAGTGAAAATATAATAACTACTATTGCCTTAATGTCTAGTTTATTTAGAAGTGAAGGGGGGAAAGAGAACCTTGAGCTGCACAGTAGCCGAGATCAGGGGAAACTCTGGTGTCTCACCTGTTGTTAGCCTTGTTCTTCTCCATCTGCTCGCTCTGGTGTACGTGCCAGTCCTCCAGCTCCTTCTTGGCTTTCTCTCTCCACTCTTCCTCTGCTGCCTTGGAGGCGGAGTCTGAAACAATCAAATCAGTCTGACTTTATAAGAGCTTAAATTTGAAGCTAAGCTCATGAGTTCTCATCACATCCTATTTCCACTTGGGCAGGAGAGACACTGGAAGCCATTTTTTTATTTATTTTTTAACTACCTAATGCTTCAAGGCGAGCCTTCTGCTCCTCCCTCCACTTGCGCAGACTTTCAGGTTCCTGCCGTTGAATATCGACCTGGGCGATGGCTGCATAGCTGTCTGTTGGCCCATTAGACTCCTTTCAACCAAACAAAACATTAAATAATTAATTAAACCAAAAGATAAAACAATCTATGCAAACATGGTCACATACACTCACAGAGAGATTTTTTTTTTTTCATCTGAGAAAGAAACAAGCTCACCGGGAACAAATCTCCATTCAGCGTCGCAGGCTCCTCTTCAAAGTCGTCAAACATAATGATTAGAAACAGAAAAAGTAACGTTAAAACCGAATATTTGAGGAGTTTTCCAGGAAGCCTCTGGTTACAGTCTGCTTGTAACTTCCCCGTCTGTACGTCCCGACTGAGCGGGTGTCGCTTCAATCTTGAAACAGTGAAGAGCTTAGAAATGCTGCTGCACCTGTTTGGTAACCTCCGCTCCGTTGGCCAACAAGGACAGGATTTTCAAGCGTAAAATCAACGCCTGTGACATTAGATTTTCAAGGCCTTGGGAATAAATCTCATGTTTTAAAAGTACAAAAATAAAAGCTAGGGTTTAATGTGTTTACACTGTGCTTCTGAGAACATAATTAAACATCATCAACGTGCTTTTTGTCTGAATTATGTGCATCAAAGAAGGTGTTTGCCTGCATTGGTGGGTTAAAGAAAGTGGAAGCTCTCAGTTCTGATTCCTTTATTTCTGTTTTTCTATTTGTTGGATTTTCTTTTCTTTAGACTTGAGATAACCATCACAAGTCAAGGAAAAACTAATAACTGACACTGGAACTATTGATCTGAAACCAACATAAGTCTAAATATGATTTTCCCTTACAAAGTTACAAACTTATTCATACTTTAGGAAGACTTTTTTTGGATGAATATATATATATATAAAAAAAAAAGTTTCAATAACAGGATCATTGTTTTGGGTGGAATTACCATAGCTGTTTAGTCAACTGTGGGCTGTCTTAAAAATACTCTCCTTCTTCTATGCTTTTTGATGGTTTCACCAGTGGGAGGAGCTTAACAAACATGTACTTACTACCTATCAACAAAAGTTTTGTTGGAATTATATAAAATAGGGATGAACCGAGTATTCAGCCAATTGTATGACCTTCTATTTCCTTAATTTTGGAAGATTTGCCAATACTTGGATAGGAAACCGATCTTATCCACGCACTTTATTCACATCAGCAAAACACCCATTGTCAATGCTCTAACCTTTGCATTTATATTCTAGAGCACTACCTATAGATCAACATTTTAAGTAAGATAATATTGAAATATAGAAGGTGTAATGTGATCTTAATAACAACAGACGGTGTCATTTATAATTTTTTTCAAAGGTTGAAAACCAGTGATCGGCCCAAAAACTGCAATCGGTGCAACCTTATTTAACAATGATCATTCCAAGGGCATCAATTAAAATATTCCACATTATCTAAATAGGGTTGTCTTTTTTCCTTATGTGATTTAGTTTCATTTTCCCATACTTTGAAAATAACTATAACTGACCTGTTTAATTCAGCCGATCCAATTAAACAAAGGCAGTAATTTTGAAAGTTTTACATATACATATATATGTGTACTTCTATACAGTTAATTAAATAAATAATTTTGCTTTAGATTTTTTTTCTTTAGCAGAAATAAATGAATAAGGGAATGAATCAGTTTTTTTTTCATTAAGGTTTTTTTTTGGGGGGGGGGCTGAGAGTGCTTGATTGATGCTATTAATTTAGCTCCATTTTTACCATTTTAACTAATTTTTGATTCCTATTTAGCACAGAAATGAAATATGTTAAATACATATTAAATATGTATTTCAGAAAAGAAAAATAAATAAACAGCAAAGGCAAGACTTTGCTATTGACATTAAATGTTTATTTTGTGTGTTCCAAAGAAGATTTACTTTCCAAAAAATTATATATATAAAAAATTAGTATGTAACTCAACTGCTAAATAAGAACTTTGGTAATAAGTAATTTGGTAATGATTGTTTCATTAATTAGTCGTAACTTAACAGAAAACCAAAAGCAGGAGTTGACCTTAAGGGACGACGGAAACAATGACATTTGCAAACTTTATTTTATTATTGGCTACAGGATTAGATTAATTTATTGACAAATATAACATTTATTGATAATTTCAGGATTTTTTTTGTTTTAGTTCTATTTGATTTAATATAATTCCTCGTTAAAAACGGTAGAAAGTTCATTTCTAATCGCGATACGCAGGTGAGTTAAACAAGCACACCCCTACAGCTATGCTAGGCTAAAAAAGCTAAAATTTTGTCAGATTTTTCCTCAAAGCTATGTCCACCCTGCAAACTAAACATATTTCCGTCGCCCTGTTGTATTGTCAGTTAATGTTACGACAAATGGATGCAGTCGATATTATTTTTAACAAACATAATTTTGTAGGAGCTAATAAAACAAATTGGCCAGTTGGCTCATTAATCTGCTAGCATTTAGCGAATAAACCCCAAAACTTACCATAGTTGGCCGTCTGAGGGGGCTGCGCATCGTCCGCTCCCTCTAGCGCCCCAAAGCCCTCGGCGTCGTTCTCGATCCCCGCTATCTCATTCTCTTGTTGGGCCAGGAAGGCTGCCGCAGGGTCCTCTTCAGTCAGTTGCGCCCCGTTGTCGGCCATAGTACACAAAAAAGTACAAAACTGAGGCTACCTGGTTTAGCTAGCTGCTGTTGGAAATTAAAATAACTGTTCGGTTGTTTTAAAAAGAATCAACTCGTTACACGGGTTTCCGTTGTTTCAGAAACGCAGCTACAACTAAAGATAAAAGCAGTTAAGCCGTCTATACCAAACAATAAAGGTTTCAGTGTAATAAGGCCCTCACTGGTGATTCATGATTTCTCCACTTGTTAATCCACTGTGGTGATGGGAGAAGGGCAGCAGCACCACCCAAAGGGGACCGCTGCCATTTTACTGCGTTTTGTCTCCATCTGCTGGCTGAATCAGGAACTAACCATGATACACAAAACTGCAGCAGCATTACACTTCTGTTACATAAAAACTAGCTGTTATAACTACGAAATAAACTTTTTTGGTTGTTTTTTTTTTTAACAATATATCTGCTTGATTTAGAGCTAAAAAAGTCTTAACATCACAAGTTTAAATTAGTTTAGTTGCCAGGAGCAATGTACAAAATAGAGACTTAGAGAGAAAAGAAACGAAAAGAAATTTCGTTTAGAAACAGCTCTCTGGATAAGTTCATCTTTTCTTTTAAAGTGCAGCCTTGAAAAATAGTAAAAATGACTGTACATTTTTTTTTTATTCATATTTATTTTCAATGAAAAGATGCTTTGTACCAGATTTCCAACACTAAGCAAGACTACGATGCACATCACATTATAAGATGACATATATATCTTCAAATATTAAAATGCAATTTTTATGTAGTTAGAAGAATACGACCCAATTTTTTTTGTCCCCCCTCCAATGTGACATAAATCGGATTTTAAGTGACAGAAACAACATTTGATTGAGGTTTTTTAATTTAGTCTCATTGAACACAAATTTGATCAACAAAATAAGTTGTCTAATGAAGTTTTTCTGTAAATTCACTTTAATAATGTATTACCTAAACTGGATATCAGAGGCCAATCAGAGTTCATCACTTCTCATAACTCTTTTCAACAAACACATTGTGAGTGTTCCTTAAAAATGTACTAATATAATGTAAAATAAAGGACACTTGCTAAATTGAAGAACTAAGTACACTAACTAAGTGATAATGACATTAGTTATTCTCTAGCACAATGAATCTTCTTTTACTACATTTAAAAATAACACACAGTACAGTTATTGACAAGAAAAGTAAGGTATCCAGGCCGAAATCACTTAAAAGGGTATTGTAATATAAATCAATGCATGTTTTTATTGGCTATATCTTGAGTTATTCCAGTTGCAGTTGTTTAAAATGTTATGCTTATGCTTATGCTTATGCTTATGCATTCCCACTTATTGTTGTTCACTTTAAATTTTTCTGACTCTAACTAGTCCCGCAGTTTTCAACCGATTTCAACAATTTTGGTATCAAAACGTTCAGCTTGTTCAGGAGAATTGTGCTATGTCTTTTGGTAAAGATATTTTTTGTAGTTTTTCGCGATATTCTGCTTTTTCTGTGGTTTTTTTGTCCCATTGAAATGCATGTAGAATTCTTAGATATTAGCAAAATTCAGCTAAAACTTTATCATCTTCGACCTTTAACTACTTCAGCATACTTTCAGCTAGAAACACCATTCAACTTTTAAAATGTTTCCGTATCTTTCTGCTATTACTGTTTAACTCAGCTTTTTGCTAACTTATACAGTTTTGCTTCAGTGAAGCTTCAAACTTTAAAAGAAAATTTTAAGATTTTCAGATTTATAATGGAAGTCTATGGACGGAATTCTTCAACTTCTAGAGTGCGTGCTCTAGCTTTTGAGCTGTTCTGGTTTTTTAGAACAAATTCTTCTCACTCCCTCATTTTTCAATCAATTGAAATAAATTATACATCAAAATGTAGGGATTTTTGTCAGGATTCAGGAAATGTAACCCTCATTTGTGTGGCATTTACAGTTTTCCGACAGTTTGGCCCAGACCACGTAGAAGTCTACACTTCCCCAATAGAAATCCAATGAGAGACTTTCCAAAGATCACAGACAAAATCCAAAACGATACATATTTTCGTATCGCTCCCATTTCTTAACTATTTGATGTACAAACATGAAACTTGGTATACAGCATCTCCAGACGCTTCTAGCACTCACATTGAAGGAATTTCATCAATATCATTTATGGTTTAGCTGTTTAGCTAACTTGTTCGTGCATAGGAAAACATTGATTATGAGAAAAATCCTCAAACTCAAAAAATGCACATTTTTACATCGTCACCATGGCCAAATAGTTTTTAGTAAAAACATGAAAGTTGGCACAGTCGAAGCTGAATGATGGCTGATGTCCATGGTGAAAGAATTTTTTGAATACCTTTTATGGTTTTGGCTCACCACTCGTTTGTTCGGAGGAGAAGTTTTGCTTTTGACAGCTCACCTCTACCATGGAACTCCATGTTATTTAATGAGACCAGCAGGATTTACAAACCTTTATATTCCTCCTTCCCATTAAGGTTGTGAATGAGCTACATCCATGAAAGTTATCCCAATCGGAGAAAAAGGATAGCTGTCGCTTAGACTGAAAGAATTTTTTAGATACCATTTACGGTTTGTCTTCAGCACTCGTTTGTTCGGAGATGACATTCCCATTCAAAAAAGCCTGAGAGGAAAGGAACGAAAGTGAAGCGCATGTCTCTCTGTGACTGACAGGCTCGTTAAGCGTTGTCAAGGTAACCAAGCTTCAAAGGATTTTACCTCTGCCACTTTAAACAGCACATATTGATCTAATGGAGGGAGAAAACACTGATTTAACATTAGAAAGTGGATACAATATGACTACTGGCCATGACCCTTCCCTTCACACGCAACCCTGATAGACTTTCAAAATAAGATGCCGGGGACCCTACAAAATAAAAGCACCTACATTAAACTCATATTTTTTTCCCAGCATATGGCTGAACATTATGACCCAAACTCAACCACTTTTTTAAAATTAGACTCTAGTGGGGTTTTCAGAACACACCCCACAGCAAATTTCAAAATAAAAGCCTCCCATTGCCACTTCCTTTGCTGCCCTAATAACAGGGGAAAAGAGTGATTTAACGATTGGAAAGTCATCAAGTATCATTGCTGGGTCCGACCCTTTTATCAACACACAACCCTGCTAGACTTTCAAAATAAGACTCCAGTGACCCTACACAATAAAAGCCTCTATAATATACTTGTGTATTCATTGATTCAAATGGCTCAGCATTGTGACCCAAACTCTACCAGTTTGTTTCTATTAGACTCTAGGGACCTTTTCAAAACATACCCTGGAGCGAATTTCACAATAAAAGTCTCCCATTTACGCTCTAATACAGCATCTATTCACCCAATAACATGGAAAACCAGTGATTTCACATTTAGAAATGGATTCCATATCACTGCTGGGCATGACCCCTCCCTTGACACACATTCATGATAGACTTTTGAAATAAGACTACAGGGACCCTACAAAATAAAAGCCTCTTCCTTACGCACACTCATTCATTGTGCCATATGGCTCGTAGCTATGACCCAAAGTCAACCAATTTCTTCAAATTACACTACCAAGGCCTGTTGACCACACACCTCAGTGCACATTTCTTAATAAGGCTCTAATATATACACTCTAACAAAGCATCTGCTAACCTCGTAACATGCAGCCTAATCCTGCCAACAGTGCTTTCATCACGACAGCGGCTCGTAACATGCAGGTTAGTTGTTTTTTTTGATAAATTCAGCTCCTTAAGTGGTATTATCTCTCTTTCTATAAGCTTCTCTCTCTGTCCTTCCTCTGCTTCTCATGGTCAGTCTTGCACATAGGTTTGTAGATTTTAAATCCTTTAAGGATGACAGTTTTCTTTATGCTGATCAACCGACACATTTTAAATCATTTCAAATTGTTTTGCCAAGTCTTGACATTTTGACAATTTCTAAATTTTGATACTTATTCAATACCATCTTCCTCAACATTTTACTTCCCATCCTTGAGCTACTCATTTTTTCTTCAAACATATAAGAGTCAAGTTTTTCTTTGTTATTTCTTTTCTAATTCAGCTAATTTAATACTTTTCAGCCTATGCTGAGAACTTTGGCTTCATTCTGCTCTCTTTCTGGACATGAGTTAAGCTTTTCTGTTTGCTGCTAATTCATAACACACCTGACATGTTTTTGGAAAGTAGGTAAACCCCGCTTCAAAATTTCTTTAGAAATTTTTCTAGAAACTTGGGAGACATTATATTAAAAACCTTCTAGTGCACACATTAAATACATTTTTTGATATTATGTATGGTTTGGCTGTGCAGCTTTTAAGATGAGTCTGTTTCTGCCATTTTGCTGCCAAATGATTCTACCCTACAAAATCTTCAGATGATTCAATTGTGTTCTGCAGTTTGAAGTTTCTGATGACTTCCTTTCACATTTTCATATGTTCCTCAGCTAATTTGTGCTTCTTTTCCTTCTCACAGTTTCTTTAGCTAATTTTTCTCTTTTCATTCAGCAGAAAAAAGCATTCCCACTTTGCTGTTTCAGAGAAACAGCTTTTTCTAGTCTTTAATTTTATAATTTCTTTTCCAAATAGCACTTTGCTTTGCTATTATATATTTTCTCCAATTTATAAAGCAGTATTATTCACTTTATATGCTTTAAAATAATATATGCCTCTGCTATATGATCTCATTTTGACAAAATAGTTCTTTTTTTTTCTCACTGTCCTGCATGTTTAAGGTGTTACCTAACTTTCCCACCTGATATCAGCTGATAGCAGATGGACAGGCTTTGCTGAACTGCAATGACCTCGATCAGTTGTGTTGAAGCACAGAAACATGTAAAACATGCATGGCAATGTGCCTAAAGGCTAAGGTTGAAAAACACTGATGTCGGTAGTCATAGTACATAGTACATACAGGTGCTGGTCATAAAATTAGAATATCATGAAAAAGTAGATTGATTTCAGTAATTCCATTTAAAAAGTGAAACTTGTATATTATATTCATACATTACATACAAACTCATATATTTCAGATGTTTATTTTGTTTAATTTTGATGATTACAAATGACAACAAATGAAAATCTCAAATTCATCATATCAGAAAATTAGAATATTGTGAAAAGGTTCAAAATTGATGGCCCCTGGTGCCACACTCTAATCAGCTAATTAACTCAAACCACCTGCAAAAGCCTTTAAATGGTCTTTCAGTCTAGTTCTATAGGCTACACAATCATGGGGAAGACTGCTGACTTGACAGTTGTCCAAAAGACGACCATCGACACCTTGCACAAGGAG